GCACACACAGTGTAATTGTGCTTTGAAGAGCTGAAGTATCACTGTAAATGGTGCAGTGTTCTTTATCTCTGACATCAGTTCTTCTGTAATCTTCCCTACAATGTATTATGGCTGCCACACAGAGGGGCTTTTCTACTGGTGTTTGTAGAGTGTTTCTTTCTCCAGGCTTTTGTTTGGTCTTTTTTCTGTCATTTTAAGTATAAAGCTATAGGTAGTTCTAACTTCTTTATCTGCTGTAGTAATCTGTGCTTTTTCCCCTTCTAGAATATTTTTAAAAATTCTTTTTAAGCTTCAAATTAAAAATGGAACATATAAGCCAGGAATGATGGTACATGCCTTTAATTCCAACCCTCAGGAGGCAAAGGCACAAGATTCTCCGTGAGTTCGAGGCCAACCTGGTCTACTTAGTGAGTTCCAGGACAGCTAGGGCTACATAGAAAAACCCTGTCACACACACAGAAAAGGAACATATAGTCATGGTACAATAAATGTTAAAGTAAGCAGAAAATAGAACTATTTCCTTTTAATTGAATACTTTAATACATTTACATTTAATATAGCTTATTGGCAGGGTTGGATTTCATTTGCTACTATGGTTTTTTTTTTCATTCATATTGTTGATTTCACCCTTGTTTTCTTGCTTGTTGTGGTACTAATAAATTATTTTCAATTTATTTTGTTAATATTCTGCTATTAGTTCTTTTCCACTTTGTGGTTTAAAGTATACATCTTTGATGCATTATATTCTGTCATGAATTTATGTCATAACCATTGAGTCATCTTTCCAGCCCTCCGAAGCCTTTTACTAACCAGTAATACTAGTTCATACCAACCTGATTTTTGCTGAGATTCATCAACTTTGTCCAAGAGATTTATATTTTTCTTCCCTAATTTCTTTTTCTTCTCCTGAGACTTTAATTGCATGTTTATTAGATGCCTGAAAGTGCTTACAGTCAGTTCAGTCAGTGTTTATTTTTTTCAGCTGTATCATTCCTCTGTGCTTCAGTTTGCCCTGCTGTCAGATTCATTAATCTTTTCTTCTACAACATCTAATCTCTACAGATCCCTTCTTAATAGCTCTGCTTGATCTCTGTTACATCCATAGCCTTCTTTAAACCTTTGGATACTGGCTACATTTAATAGCTGTTGGGTACTGGCTACATTTAATAGCTGTTGGGTACTGGCTACATTTAATAGCTGCTTTAAGGTTTATCACTCATCATTCTATCATCAGTTTTATTTCTGTTTCTTCTGATTGGTCTTCCTTTTGACTTTTAACTATGTTTTCCTGGTTCTCCTCAAAAGTTAGTGTTTTATGCTGCACATTGGAGATGGTGTGCTGTGGGCTTAACTAGGTTGTGTTTTCTTCCTCTGAAAAGCATCTCCTTCTTTCTGGCCGATTTTCTTACAGATCAGCTTGATACTTGATAGTTTTGTTTTGAGAAAGGGTTAGAGCAAGTCAGGAGTCACTCTTCTTCCAGGGTTACAGTAGCTCTTCCAAGGCAGAGCCTTTCTGCTGAAGTCATCAGGCCTTCTCCTTTCTGGCAGGTGGGACCAGAAAGATCTCCTAATCTTGTGCAACATCTTTGAAACCTCTGAGTACTCACGAGCACACACACACAAACACACACACACACACACATACACACAGAGACACAACACACACACACAACTGTTTTCTCTACAGAGACTTGCTCTACACAAATGATTTACAATTCAGCTAAAGCCTTTAAGGAAGCCTCACTGCACATTTCTGGAATTCTTTCTTGGCTCAGTTATCTCTTCTGTCCTGCCCTGTCCAGCCTCAACACAAGGCCTTACCTGGATCTCCGTCCGTTTGGTTTAGGTTCAGTGAGTAGGTATGCACACGGGCCCTACTCTGTCCTATGAGCTTATTACTCCAGTAGAGTTTTGGGAGTGAGACTCTCCAGGTCTGTGCCATGGGTCGCACCGTGGGTCGCACCACCTATTTATGAGGGCTGCAAGCTTTGATTTAATTGTCATCAGGAACTCCAGTCCTGTCCCAGCCACTGCATCATGGCCAGAAGTCTTCTTTCCAAACTGAAGTTTCACCCGTTCCCGTCTTTGTGCACGGGATTCCTTGGCTTCACCTCTGCCTTACAGAGTGTAGAGATAACCCACGTCTCTCTAGCCTCTTTTCTCTGATTCTTTTTTTTTTCCTACCTGGATTAATTTTTCAGATTCCTACAGGAGAGACTTTGGCACCCTGTCATTGTTTAGGCGTGTTATGAATAAAAATCTCATGTGTATTTCTTACAATGGGAAGTAGCCAGTCAGTCAGAGATGCTCATTCCTAGTCCAAGCCCAGGTAGCAGCTCCAGCCTGACGGTGTTCCATATGAGGTCAACGTATGGAGCAGACTGGTGGGTAATGTCAGTTGGGAAACTGCTGGGACCCATCCATGCTCAGGGTCAACCCGTTGAGTGACCCTGAAGTGGTGACCAGACCTCCACGACACCATCTGCTTTGTCCTTTGGGGCAATGGGAGTAGAAGGGGAGCCCAGTGGCCCTGTTAAGTCTCTTGCTGGGCTTCCTACCTCTGTTGCACTTGTCCTTGGTATTCCAAGTTTCACTGTTCTGGCTCTTCAGTGCACGCACTCGTGAATGGCATGAGTTGTCTCTATCACTCGCTGTGATTCTCTCAGGTAATGAGCTCTTACACTCGATGCATGAAGACAGGGGGACAAACTGGACCACTTGGGCCTTTAGAGAGCAGGGTCATCTGTGGTCACAGCACACATCACTGATGACAGTCAGTTCCTGGAAAGGAAGAGGTGATGAGGTAGACGAACGGTCAAGAAAGGCACTTTTAAGGAGGACTTCCTGAGGAAGTGCTGTCTGGGTGTAGCATGTAGGTCTAACAGTCACAACATTATGGGATCAAAGGAAACAGCCTGGATGAAGGCCTTGAGCTCAGAGGAGGACCGGTGTTACAGGAGTTAAGAAACTGAGGGGCCTGAGCAGAATCTGGTGAGGCAAGAAGGCCCGTAGGGCAGCTAAAGCATACAGATGATTAACTCAGTTTATTGAATCAGGTGTCTCATAGGTGCCCTGAGGTCCCTCCTATAAGGAATGCTGGGATTTTCACAGCAGGAATCAAATGTGACACAATCCCCAGACATGGCTCTGCAGCAACAGAGACAGGTCTCTGAGGGAAGCAGCTTGCCAGGTTCCTGCTCATAGACTGTCCTTGTACCCAGGGCTCTGACATGTGGATCAGTGTCTCATGATTCACGGAGGCTATCTATGATATTCCTAGGCCTCCTTGAGCTTCTGGCTGCCTGAGATCCCATGTCATCCGGCACCTTCTTCCTGGGTGTCCTTTAAGAACCACATTAGAACTCCTAGGCCTTAGTTTTCCTGCCTCTAAGAGGAACATCGGTAACCATTTCCATGTGTGGAGCAGTTACCTTAAGGGTATGTCTCTGGATTTCTAGATGTCTCACTGAATCCCTGTGAGGCTACCCACTCAGAGAGGGCCATCCTGTCTCATCAGTGGGGTTAGGCAGGGGGAAACTATGTGCCCCGTAGAATTGGGAGCCCAGGACTGTTGAGGCCAGAAGCCCTGGAGCTAGGCTTCCATGATGGGCTGGCCTCTCTGGCCTCAGTGTAGGCCTGAGAGTGAGCCTCCAGCCCTAAACTGTTCCTCCCACTGGGAGATAGTCAACAGTCAGAGATGTTCCAGGGGCAGCAACACAGTGTTGAATGTGTTGGGAGAAACCATCAGATAAGCCATCCTTCTTGTTTGACTCAAGTCAGAAAGAAAGGGAAAGCATGTGAGGTTTCCTTTGCCAGTGGGAGCTTCAGCTTCCCTCATACTGAGGCCCTGGGACTCCACTCAGCCATACTGGATCATGTTAGAGCTGTGACTGAATGACTCCCCTTCCTGTGGCACAGCTGGCCTTATAAAGACAAGCATCTCTGAGGTATGAGGTGTGCTCAGCCCCTGGTGGAAGAGAGCTGTGATTTGCATGAAGCCTGGATTTCTTGGGTCTCGGATTTCTACATCAGTATGAGGAATGACTGGACACTGAGGGCTGCAAACCTTTCATCTCAGCCTCTGGCATGGTAGTTTGAGTCTCCCGACTTCCAGAATGGGCATTGCACTGAGAGCAGGATTGTAACAAGGACCTCCTTCATGGAGCCAGAAAGCCAAATTGGCTCAGAGCAGTGACCCAATCCCTGTGTACATGTAGGGCTCTCAGGATGGTGCTCACTCCTGGGGTTTCTGGAATCCCCTCTCTAACTGGTCCTGTTCTTTCCATTGGAAGACATAGCTGTAGACCTTCCATGGTCTCATGAAGCAGGCCTTGCTCGCTTCTCTTCTGAGTGAGTCACTTTAGGCCCAGGCTCAAGGCACTCTGCCCACCCAAGACCAGCTCTTAGGACCAGCTCTTCTTAGGACCTAGCTCTGTAGAGGATGTGAGTAAGAAAGGCTTCCCAAACCTTACAGGGGACAGGCATACCTCTATGACAAAGGCAGGCCCCAAGTCTCCTAAGAAGAGCAGTTCCCAGCCCCTGTCCACAGAGTTTTGTAGAGCCCTCTCCCTTCCCCACTCCACTATGCAGCCCCATACCACATTCTGCTTCTCACCATCGCTTAGGAGCCAGATTCCCTTTGAAGGAAAAGGGCTGAGAAGCAGATATGCTAGAAAATGTTCTTGGGGCGGGGGTAACTAGTCCAGATTCCTCAGGGCTAAACACGTAGACCCTCAGAGACTGCACGGAGGTGATGGGGGGCAAACAGGAAGCTCTGAGCATGAACCAGAGGTCAGGCTTCCTAAAGAAAAATGAGGGAAGATTCTCGACTTTCAAAGGTTCTTGGGCTCCTTGTGGAAGCTTGAGCCCTTGCTTTCTATTGACTGAGGGCAGGTTGGGCAGAGAGGTGTCAGAGTGGGCATTCAGGGACCCGTGGCTGAGAGGCCACTTGCTCGGCAGGCTCCAAGGGCCCTCAAGGACTGAGAGCATGACCCTCTCAGGTACCGCCCCCGGGTGGGAGCCGCCGGAAGATCCAGACACCGGTTCTGAGTGCTCCCATCCAGAGGTCACCCCATCTCCACGCTTCGTGGCAGCGAAGACCCAGACAAACCAGTCGGGGAAAAAAGCTCCAGCCTCCGTGGTCCGATGCGCCTCCCTCTTACACCGCACCCCTCCAGCTACCCAAACTCAGACGTTCCGAACTCCAAACTCGGGATCTCCAGCAAGCAAGGCAGCTGCAGGTACGGAAGGTCTTTATTACCCACACCTCCCTGGCTTCCCACCCACCACCTGCGGTAGCTCTTCCCCTGCAAGAACAAGACTGGAGTTCCCATCATGCTTTGGTACAGATGGGACCCATGCCTCTGGCAACCTCTGTAACCCTGGCAGACCAAGTTATAAATCTCAGCTGGAGGGTTATACAACAAAATTTGCAAACATTTTCAAAGTAATTTGATGGTTTTCCCAAATCATGGCCTAATGGGTTCTGTTTTATTTGGCCTTTGTAAAGTTTAAAAGCCTTTTATTAAAGATTAATAGGAAATATTTGAACATGAAGAGAGTCTGTATAGAAAGAGGTTTGGGTTTCTGGTTGTGTTGAGACATCAAATCTGGCTCCTGGACCATGTTCCTGCAGGGTAATGGCTCATGCCTCCTTCACAGTAGGTGTCTGTACACTTTCCCTGTTCCACGATCCCCAGTACCCCCTGCTACACCCCTGCCACAGTGGCCCCAGGGCAGGATGGCAGGTATCATTTTTGATTATGACCACACTGTTGTCTGTGACCATCCAGCCCTGTCTGGACCCCTTGGCATGGGCTTTCATTTTCACCTCTCAGAAAACTATCTCAAGCTATTTCAGCATCAAATGGGATGGCTGACTGCAGCTCTGCCTCTGTGGTCCCCGACTCCCTGAGTTTACCCATGCAACTCTCCAGGAGGTAGAGGGCCAGCAGGAAACCGGAGGATGTCAGCTCCAGAAGTTTCCAGGCCTATGCAGAAACGGGCTATGGCTCCAGAATGTGACTGGGTAGCAAGCTCCCCAGTGATTGTTTCTTCCAAAATAGAAGACACACTATGTGCTACGTACCAGCTTCCAGGAGTCCTGGGACTCAGACTTGCATGAGAAAAACCTTGGACCACCTACCCAGATGATGGTGCTATACTTTCTGAAGCTCTTGGTCTTTCAATTGCTTTCAGGAGACCAGAGATATCCTAAATGTACAGAATGTTTGCATTGAGAGGTCTGATGAATGAGCCACCGAGGTCATTCATTGGTAACCTGACTAGGTAATTAGTTCTGCTTGTGTTTCCTCTGGTTTAAGAAGCTAATTTGGACCAGGCTGTGGTTTTGTGTTTGCTGTACTTATATTTCTCAAAAGGAGGGGAGTCGGCCAACCTTGAAGTATGGATTTTTCAGGTGCTGTGTTACGACAGTTGTGTTTTTGTCTGCAAGTGGGAGGCTAAGTCAGGAGGATCAAAAGTGCAAGCCCTGCTTGGGCTATAGAGTGGGTTCAAGGCCAGACTAATCAACTTTGTTAGACCCTGTCTTAAAGTAAGAAAAGGGGGTTGGGGAGATAGCTCGGTGATAAAAGTGATTGTAGAGACCTTGCTTGGGGTTCTGTCCTCAGCACCTTAAAAGAATTAGAAAGATTGTCTGCCATGGTCTCCTGGGTGGCAGACATTGACTCGTCAGATTGTAGGGTCATGCTTTCTTGACTTTGCTCTCTTCTTGAGCTTTGTGACTGAGTTTTTAAAGGTCCATAGTGTCTGCAGAGAATTGAATGTGGGGACTGACATTTGTCAGTCATTGAATGTCACTATCTCCAGGCAAGTGTCTAGCAAACCATGGGCACATCAGTGGCTGCCTCTGTAAGACTTGGAAGCCATGTGGTGGATCTTACTTGAGCAAACTGTCTGGTCAAGTCCAAAGGCACCAGGTTAGGAGCAGAGGTGACAGGAACTGTGAAATGGTGTGTGACAGGTGGAAGTTGTCACTGTCATTATCCTGGAGAATATGGCTGTTTGTATGCAGGTGGACATGAACACATGGATTTATATTTTCACCTGAAATACCTACCTGCCTGTTCCCCTGTGAACAGACTAAGGCATAGAAATAGATCTCTTTCTTCTTACGGGGGAGGCATCTAAAGCCTTGCATGCTATCCTAGTGGGGCCAGGAGCCTGGCAGCTTCAATTTGTTTCTCTGCCTGTTAAGTGAGTAATACTACACAGCCTCATGATGTTGGGAGGATTATCTGGTATACAGTAGGTGGTCAACAGTGATAGCCCCTCACCCTCTGTGCATAGAGAATGAATGGGCCTCTGTCAGTTTATGTGCTGTCTGGAGGTACTCAACCCAGGCTGTTAGGGACACAGAGGGAGCGTGTTCCTTGCAGTGCCAAAAGGTCTCTACAGGCTATTGGAAAAGAACTGAGCAGGCCTATAGGAACTGCCTCTGGCCGGCTGTCTCATCCGTCATCCATGTCTTCCTTCACCCCAGAGCACCCAGCACTTTGTTGGGTAGGATGGACATGCTGAGTGGTGTTTCTCCAAGTGATTTCCAAATAGCACCACTTAGGAGGATATTGCAGGATCTAATCTTTAAAATCCCTGTGTTTGGGGGACAGGTTAAATTAAAGCCCAGTGGCTCTCCTTCTGGTCAGTTTCTCTGAGCCTTTGGTAGCCTCATCCAAACCGTTTAAAGGGGCAGGGATGGCTGAGTATCTCAAATTGACTTTCCTGAGACCTTCATCTCCTGGATCAGCCGTGCTCTGAAGTATCCAGAGCATCATGGAAAGAAAAGCTGGGTTGTCTTCTGCTCGTGGGAGTGGGGCTATAAGTATAGGGTTTTGCTTGGCCAAGCCCATCCCTGCCTTATGGGATTTCCAGAGAGATCCGGTAAGCTTTGGGAAAGGTGCTAGACACAGCTGACAAGGAGCCAAGTGCTCCTACTCCTCCCTGAGTTCTGACCCTCCTCGCCCAGTCTTTGGCCTTCCCAGAAAAAGTATGAAACTACCCCCTTCCTCCTTGTCACATGTTCTGTCCCAGGACATCCTTTATGCCTTGGGATTCTTGTTGGGTCAAAGCTACCTCCAGGAAATGAGCTGACGTCCTCAGTCATTGGGGGGTGGAGTGGGAGGGCTGTAGCAGAAAAATCTTCCAGAGAAAACAAGAAAGTTCATTGTAATGACTCATCCTTACATATATGGCCCTGGGGTAGAAAATGGGGCCCAGCCAGACCTGTTTGCTGTCTGCATTTCACCAGTGTGTCCTTGGGCAGGTCACCCCTTCCCTCTCCATCCCTCTATCTCCCAGATACACATTCTCTGAGCTCCAGGGCCCTCCTGCCCACTCAGCCCTGACAGACTAGCTGACCATTCCCATGGCATATCACCCCCCTCTCTGACTCCTCCCAGCAGAAAATGCCTTCAGTCGTCGAGTAGAAAGCAAAGCACAGAACCACTTTGAAGAGACCAATAACAGCTCGCAAAATTCCAACGGTGAGTGTGCCTGTGGTGTGACGTGTGACATCATGTATGGGCTCTACTCTAGTGTCACCTCCCCCAGAAGAGCAGGTACCTATGACTGGGGTCTTCTGGTGCATGGTGGGGCTTGGTGGGAGAGGGGCTGGGTAGGGAAATAGAGAAACAGCAGAGCTTATGAGAAGCAGAAGGGGCTTTTATATCCATGGATGCCCTTCTGTGGCTGTATTTTGCCTTTGGCCCTTACCCACACAGAGGGGAACTTCCTTAATCCCAAACTCAGGCATCAACTTAGCCAGCCCAGATGGGTAACCCCAAGAGAGCCATTTGCTAAGTTAAGAGTAATGCCCTATGTAGCAGGTTTCTATCCTAGAGAGGCAAATGGGGTACAGTAGAGATACTGGAGCCAGAGCTCCCAGGTTCTGCACCCATACTAGATCTTGGACCTCAGAACAGATCCTCTTCTAGATCCTGCAGGCCTATGGCTTGGCCAGAGAGCACCTGGTAGTGTTTGCTGCCACCTGGTGGCTGCCTTGTGTGGGATCCTAGTGGCACAGCTTGGGACTCCAGGGTTTATTTAGCCTTGGCAGGAATGTGGATGGTCACCGGCGGCAGTCCTTATCTTAGAAAGGGATAGGAAGGGTGTGTGCACAGTGATGGCCAGGACATGAGGGAACAGGTCTTCTGCCACTGTGAAGTGGATGTCATTGAATATTAGGCCTGAGTGAATGCCCCCCCCTGTGCTGACACTGACTGGTATATACCAGTGGATGCACCTTGGCCACCATGGGCTTCAGCAAATGGTTAGGAGCACAGACACCAGATGGAAGCTTCTGCCTAGTAGTAGACCCACGCTCTCTCGAGCCCAGGTTTGACCTCTGCTCCACTGGCTCCCATGAGTAGTCTAGACTTAACTCCTTCTCAGCTGGAAGCGGCTTAAGGAGCACAAACAGCGCCAGAGAACACAGGCAGGAGAGGGGTGTTACTTTGGGCGTCATTTGCCTTCTTTTATCTTGGTGTAAATCAAGCAGTTGGTGCAAGCACTACTTGAGTTGTCACTGTGATCCTCAGGGCTTCTGTAAGGGGCTGGTCTAGGAGGGATGGGGTGACCTGCCTGGCGCCACAGAGGATTAAGTGGCAGCCTGGAACTAGAACCAAGGTCTCCTGTCATGCCCCCGTCTCCCCACCCAAGCCATGCTGTACCCCTTACGCCTCTCCTGCCACCAGGGCTAACGTTTGTGTAGGGATGGCACTGTCGAGGGCTGCTGCTGCTGGCAGCCACCACTTATTGAGCACTTACAACGTGGCTGGCACGTGTTCAGAGCTTTGTGTGTTGTATCTGTTTTCACCCTTACCACAGTCCTGTAGGGTTAGTGTTTCTGTTACTCCCACTTTCTGGATGAGGAAAATGAGGCTCGGGATAAGTCCATTGTAGCCCCAGGTCCCCCAGATTGCAGGTGCAGCCAGACCCCTCATACCCTGCCTGCATTCCACCTTGTTGCCTGCTATATCGGAGGCTTGCCGGCCCCGCTCTCTGGCAATGTCTGACAGTAGGAGAGCTTGCCAGAAAACAACCAAGTGGCCAAGTGCGTGTCTATATGGGCATCATACCTGAGTCACAGAATCTACCATCAGAGCATCCTAAGGAAATGGCCCTAACGGTATCACATGATACTGCCTTCTCTGATGACTGTGCCTCTCTGCCAGTACCCTCTCACCCACCTTCCCACACCGACTATGTGCCCAACGAGGTGCTGCCTCCACTGAGAGGGCCACCTGGCTTACCAGCTGTGATGATGTCACAGCCCCAGAACTGAAAAACACTTAGCTGAACTGTTTCTCTTTTGCAGAAACTGCAAGTCCCCTGATTTCCAATACTTTCCCTCTCCTGCAGAGTAAGTGATGGTCCTCCTGGGGGGGTTGAAAAGGGCAAGGCAGGGCAGAGAGTGACTCTGCTGGCCTCCCTGAGATATAGACAGACCTTGGGCCGCCCTCAGGGTAACTTCAAGTAATAGCCTTGGGAGGCTGCTAAGGAAGAGCCCCAGAGGGTGGAGAGGTAGGTGGAACCCCTGAGCTCACAGGAGGGGGGACAGGTTACCCACCTCTGGTTATCCAGACAGCCTCAGGACTTCTCTTCCAAGCCTCCTTCCTCCCTCTCTTCCCACCCCTTTCTACCTAACAATGTTTTCTTTCTTTCTTCCCATCGCCCCCTTCTTTGCCAGGCACCAGTGTGAGTCCTGGATACTCTGAGGTTTTGGTGTCGGTTCCGCTCAGTCCATCCTCCAGTCATGCCCCACTGCCTCAGTTCCTCCTCTCCTTCTCTTTCTCTCATTGTTTCCCTCTCATCGTGAGTGTCTTTGTTCATCTGTGCATCTGTTTATTTGTTCCTTCCGTGAACAGTGACCCTCATGTGGTCCCACGGGCAGAGGGTTAAGCTGTGAATCTCAAGGGGCAGACTCTGTTTCCTGGGAGTTCTTGGTGCCTGGATGTTGTCCTTCCCATGTGCTCAGAACAGTGCCTGCCACGGAGTAAGCACCCAGTAAGCAAGCAGCAGGCCCATTGAGTTAGCAGCCGGTATCTGTGTGCCCCTCTCTGTGCTCCTGCCTCTCCTTAGCCTTTCTGTTCCCAGGATAGTGCGGGCCAGTGGACAGGCTGGGCCCAGGGCCCCAAGTATGCACCTGGATCCCCACCTTCAGAGCTGCCTGCAGCCCAGTGTCAGGGTGCCCGAGTATGGGCCACCTGTCACATGCCCTCCTGTCTCCCCAGAACCCTACACGTGCGGTGCCTGTGGGATCCAGTTTCAGTTCTACAGCAACCTGCTGGAGCACATGCAGTCCCATGCAGGTAAGGCCCAGAGGACCCCCTAAACACGAAAATGGAAGCGACCAGCAGAACCCGCCCAGAGCACACACCCCCTCCCCACCCCACCCATAACCAGACACACATATCACTGGCACTTTCCGGGAACTTACCTTCTGAGCCCCAGCCAGCTTGTCCTTCATCGTTGGCTAGTCTGAACTCTGGCATCTCAGCGTCTCAGGGGTGGTTTGGGGAGGAGGGAGGAAGACGGGCTTCCCAGAGGTTGCAGGCCTGAAAAGGAGACCTGTAAATGGATTCAAGGACAACTTGAGCAGAGCTGACAGTAGAGAAGCCAGCGGTTGGGTAGATTGTGCTCAGGCTTTCCTGTGCACTCACCATTTCCACCTCTCCAAAGCCCTGGTTCTCAAACTGGAGCTCATGAAGGAATGAGCAGGGAGGAGGTTGGGGCAGAGGGAGCCCGCGGGCTGCTAGGGTGAGGACGGCTCTCCCTCACAGACTCAGCCATCCACTGCCAGCCTTCACCCTTGCCGTTGCACAGCTCAGGTGTTCAGCTTTCCAGTCTGTATCCACAGACATTAATTACAGCAGCACCAGCTTCTGGTCTAAATTCTGCTTAGTCAGAATTACTGTGTGTCAATAGGGAGAGTCCCCAGGCCTCAGCACTTCCACAAACAGTTACTATGTAGCCACACAGGCATTGCAAGAAGCCTGCCTAGGGACCTCCCACCGGGGTACTCAGGGATCCAGATCCCTTCCCTCTTATGATCCTGTACACCCCTGGCTACTCAGAGGCTTTCATCTCTGACTGATAGATGTGGGGAGAGGCAAGGGGTTACACGAGTGACACAGATCCTAAATGCCGTCTGCATTGGCACATGACCATCCTAAGTCTGGCGGAAGGCTCTGTTCAGTAACAATCCAACACTTTGCAGAAGGAACTGTGCATCTGGGCAATGGGGCAGCTAGTACCTGTCCATCTAGATAGATCTTCTAGAGGCATTCGAAATAACACGTGAAGTGGAGTGGTGGTACACACCTATAATCTCAGCCCCTGGGAACCATAGACAGGAGGATCACAAATTTAAGGCCATCTTTGGAGACACAGATCTCTCTCCTTTTAAAAAAAAAAAAAGATCAAAGAAATGAAAAGTAATATTGTATAAAATGTGTGTGGTGTATGATGGGGGCTGAATAGTTGACATAGTTGTTATCATTTGTGTCCTCTGAGGTTTACAAAGCTTTCAGGGAATCCTCCAGCTTGAGCCTGACTAGCTCAACTGTCCAGGTTGTCTCAGTCAGTGTTCTGTTGCTGGGAAGAGACACCATGACCACAGCACCTCTTACAAGAGAAAGTGTTTAGCTGGAGCTTGCTTTCAGTTTCAGAGGTTTAGTCCATTATCTTCACAGCAGGGAGCATGGGGGCACACAGGCACTGGAGAGGTAGCTGAGAGTTCTACATTCAGATCCATAGGCAGCAAGAAAAGAGAAATACTGGGCCTAGCTTTGGCTTTGGAAACCCAACACCCACCCTCCAGTGACACACTTTCTTCCACAAGGCCACACCTACATCACTAAGCCACACCTCCTAATCCTTCTCAAGTAGTGCCATTCCCTGATGTGCAGGCATTCAGATATCTAAGCCTATGGGGACCATTCTTATTCAAACCACCACATTCCACTCCCTGGAATCCCACATTCCTAAATGCCAGGAGACTTCAGGCAGAAAACTGTCTCCTTCTTTAAAGCAAGGACACACAGACTCCTCTTGCCTAATGTCTTTGCCTCACGTTTCAAGTGTCTCCGGTCTCCTAATGACTCCATGATCAGCCAGGGATGGTTCAAAGCATTTACACATGCCCTCGATGGGAACTTACAGCCCTGGAGGGTGGTAGCCATGGTCCCTTTCTTTGGGTACCACGTCTGGTTCCTGAGCCTTACAGCCCAGCCTCCCACAGTTATCCACAGTTAATTCATATTCATTCATACCCCTCCCTTTCTGTCTGTCTCTGTCTATTTGTCTCTGTCTCTCTGTTTGCCTATGTCTTTCTGTCTCTGTTTCTCTCTGTCTCTGTCTCTGTTTCTCTCTCTCTCTCTCTCTCTCTCTCTCTGTGTGTGTGTGTGTGTCTGTGTGTGTGTCTGTGTTTATGTGTGTGTGTGTGTATCCTGCAGGAAGTTGTAACTAAGTGTAAGTTTGGATATGGGTGTTTCCCCATCATTCTGGCAGATAGCAGACAGAACTATGATGATTCAAGTCCAGGCTGAGCCAGGAAGTGGCTGCACTATCCCCCAGCATTCTGGCTTGTTCAGAGTCTCTGAAGGGCTTCTTTGTGCTGGTCCAGCACAGCCAGAGAATGGCTTCCTCGAAATCCAGTGCAAAGCCAGGCGGAATCCCAGCCAGACTGAATCAGGATTAAAGGATTGGCTTCATGGAGGAAAATTAAGCATTGTGAGCTGCACAGTTCACAGCGCCGCTGATAAGGGGATCAGCCTCAAGTAACACCAATCTCATTAAGAGCCTCTGAATGGCACAGGCTAATTCACACTAGTGAACTTATATGCTGAAGGGAATCTGTCTGCCCTGGTGACAGGTCAGGAGTAGGACTGGCAGTCATGATGCTAACTATAGTGAATGGTAGCGAATGCTTGCCATGTGTTGGGTACTGGCCATGGGTCAGGTATGTTGACTGTGGTACAGGAAACTACAAATGTTGACATTTCCATCCCCTTAATAAAGGCATAGAAAACAGTCTCTGGCATAGCTCCTAACTAGTTAGCATCACCTCAACTGATACTTGCTGCTGGGTCTTGGTCTGAGAGTTTTACATATATTCATCATTCACCATTTAATTCTCAAAGTAGCTCCCTAAATGCCACATTAACTCCATTTCACAGAAAAGGATGCTAAAGAGCTGGAAAAATGGCTCTTAGTACAATGTTCGCCCCGTAGGAATGAGGATCTGAGTTCAGTTCCCAAAATCCACATAGAATGACTAGGCATGGCAGTGCACACTTGTAATCCTAGCTGGGGGAGGCAAAGGGAGGTGACTCCTTAGGGCTCCCTGGCCAGCCAGCCTGGCCTATCTAGTAAGGTAGATGCCAGCGATAGAGTCTGTATCAAATAAAATAAAGTAAAATAAAATAAAGTTGGTATGGGGGAGTGTGGCCCCTAAAGAAAAATAGTTAAGATTGTCATCTGGCCTTCACACATATTGACATGCACACACACACCTGCATATGCTCACACACATACCAAGAAAAAGAAGTCTGAAGCAAACATGATTAAATGCACTTGTCAGGGTTATAACATCAGCGGTAATTAGACCAGGGTTCTCACTCTGGGAATAAGCTCCATGTAGATTGTATAGCCTTTAGCATTTACACTGAAGCTGTGGTCTACCCTGCTGGAGTCAGTGGACTTGACCCCTCAGAGCTGGGCTCTTGCAGCTCTCACCAGTAGGAGTGGAGAGCATAGTTAAGAGGTGCCCAGGAATCTTTGCAGAGAATAAATTAAATCAGCGGTTCTCTGTTTTAGACTTGGGGGAGGTGGTCAATCCTGATTTCTAATCTCTTGAATGACTTCACAACTTCAGAAATCCTCTTTTCCACTGTAAGAGTTTTTCAAACCTTTCCTCCCAGAGATGAGGGTGACAGAGGTAATGTATTCAAAGACTATGATCTCTTCTATAACCTAGCCTGACCTTACTCCGTCACCTATTGCAGGTACAAGGTGAATATCCCTCTTCTGAAGTGCTTGGAAGCAGAAGTGTTTCTGTTCACACATTTCAGAGTCTGGGATATTTGAAGATGTAGAGAATGCATTCTAACGATTCTCATTCCTTCCCTTTCTCAGCTTCTGCCAACCCCCTCCCGCACTCCTCCTCTCCCCCCAAAAGCATTTCCTCACGCTCCCCCCCACCCCGTCTGTCTGGTTTGTTTTATGACTTACTGAATTTAACTACAGCTGTCTGTGTGACCCTGGGATTAGAATTATCCATTGGATCATGGTGAGCTTAGCAATGGGCAAGCAATTGAAGATGATTAATTCCCATCGCCCAGAGTCTATTAGAGCTAGTAGTGTAGTAGTGAGGGATAGGGCTCCACAGCCCTTCCTACATCCATGGCTGATTGTTGACAGGGATGGTCTTCTATAGGTTCAATGTACGTAACCATAGCTGCTCTGAGTTCATGACTGTAATAGTTGTGTAGTGCCTAGAAGGTGACATTTGTCAGCTCTTCTCCCTGTCTTTAGCTCTTCCATTCTTTCTGATCCCTCATCCTCAATTTCCCTGCCTGAAAAGGGGTAGTACAAATTCTTTTTTAGGGCTAGGCACTCAGACATCACTTATCCTTGGTACCCTGGGCAGCCATGAATCTCTGCATCTACTTATATTCACTGTGAAAAGAAGCTTCTCTAATTACAGCTGATTATAGTTTTTGTCTATTTGTATGAAAGAGGTGCTTAGTCATTTTAGTTAAACCATAGTAATAAGTTATACCCTTAGGTCTATGGCTCCCCCAAGTATGGATTGTTAGCCTGGCTTACAGTACTAAGCCTGAATTCCTTCCTGTGGAGTGGGGCTCAAATTGAATCAGAGGGTGATTAGTGGATCACACAACAGTTGTACCACTACTACACACGTGGGCACGTCTTGCCTAGAAGGTTGATTTTGTAGTTAGTAAGAGTCTCAGCTAGGTAAGTTCTTTGATGCCTTTTCTCTCCTAGCTGCCTGCATCACAACTGGCTCTTTGAAAGTTAGCCAGGGGGGATGCTATTTCCAGTGAGTTCCAACTTGCTTTCTCTTTCTCTTATAACTGGTGTGTGTAGAATTTTCAGCCATGGGAGTTTTACACTGTAGTTCTGATTGGTGTCCAAGAGAACTGATAAGAACCTCTGTTGTTTTGGGCCCTCTGGAACCTCTTGACTCACTCTTTTGGAGGTACCCCACATCTGGCACCAGGAATTTTGTATGATGACGCACTGCTTCTAGGAGAAGCATTATCAAGCTACAATGAATGTCTCTCATCAATCTCTGTATTTTTAAATTGCTTACAAAATAGTAAATTTTCATATGGCTTTTTGGTTCATCCTTGCTTCTGGTTAGCTCTCTCATACTCTCTCTCCCTGTTTTCCCACCCTGTCTCCCTGATCTACCACCCCTACCCTGCTTAAATATTGACACCCCAACTATTGCCGTTCCCTACTACTTTGCCTGTGTTCTATCCACACTCCTGTAAAGCACTCCCCTCTCCCAGTTTCCTCTTTCTAGTCTCCAGACTACAAGGGAAGAGTACTCTAGGCTAAACAGAGTTAAAGAGTGGAAGCTGAGATTCACACATGAAGGAGACCAAGTGGTGGTCTTTCCCCCCCGAGCTGGGTTATCCCACTCAGTATAATGTTTTCCCAGTTCCAGTCATTTACATGAAAACTTCATGATTTAATTTTTCTTCCTAGTTGCATGAAATTCCATTGAGTATTTGTACCCATCTTCATCATCCATTCATCCGTTGATGGGCAACTAGGCTTTTATTTCCCTGCTCTTGTCCATCAAGCATGGGCATGCAAGTATCTATGCAATGGGTGACCCATTGCTCCCTTTGTTCTGCAGCTGACAATGAAAACAACATCACCTCCAACCAGTCCCGATCTCCACCTGCTGCAGTGGAAGAAAAGTGGAAACCTCAGGTCCAGAGGAACAGTGCCAACAACAGTAGGTCTCAGCATGCTGGAGCCCAGGGCCCCTGGAATTACTACAGCCCCAGTGTATCTGTACCCTGTCTCCCCACTGCATCTGTACCCTGTCTCCCCACTG